CCCAGGCCGGTCGGGAACCCTCTCACCTCGGCCTCCCGATGTGCTGGGATGACAGGCGGGCGCCCCCGGGCCAGGCTGGGTTTTTTGTTCTGTGGTTTTTTTTTACGCAGACTGGGTCTCTGTTGCCCAGGCTGGGATACAGTGGTGTGATCGCTGCAGCCTCCGGGGCTCCAGCGATCCTCCCACGTCAGCCTCCCAAAGAGCTGGGGCAGCAGGTGTTACCATGCCCAGCTCATTTTTAATTTTTGCGTAGAGCTGGGGTCTTGCTATGCTGGTCAAGCTGGTCTCAAACTCTTGGCCTCAAATGAGCCTCCCATCTCGGCCTCCTAAAGTGCTGGGATTACAGGAGTGAGCAATTGTGTCCGCCTTGTGTTTTCTCTTTTAACATCCTTTGTCCATTTTGATCCCAACATTTTTTTTTTTTTTTTTTTTTTGAGTCGGAATCTCGCTCTGTCGCCCAAACTGGAAGGCCGTGGCCGCTCCCGGCCACCGCAGCCTCGACCTGCTGGGCTCCGGCGATCCTTCCGCCTCCGCCTTCCGAGTAACTGGAACTACAGGCGCGCGCTACCACGCCCGGCTAGTTTTTGATTGATTGTAGAGATGAGGTCTCGCCAAGTTGCCCCGGGCGGGTCTTGAACCCGCAGGCTCAGGCCATCCACTCACCTCAGCCTCCCAAAGCGTGGGATTACAGGCTGAGCCACTGGCTCCAACATTTTTTTTTTTGAGTTGGGGTCTCCCTCTGTCACCTAGACTGGAGTGCTGGGGCATGATCACAGCTTACCACAGCCTCAACCAGCTGGGCTCAAGCAGTCCTCCCACCTCAGCTTCCCAAGTAACTGGGAATACAGGCACGTAATGTGCCACCACATGTCCCCTTAGTTTTTTGATTTATTGTGGAGACAAGGTCTCACCAAGTTGCCCAGGCTGGTCTCAAACCCCTAGACTCAAGCAATCCTCTCACCTCAGCCTCCCAAAGTGCTGGGATTATGGGTGTGAGCCACCACACCTGGCCATGTGTTTTCTTTTTTAACACCCTTTGGCCACTTTGATCCCCGTCATGTTTTAATGGCTACTGCTTTTTGGGATCTGTTTATGAAAGCTTTGTCCATCTCAAGGTCATACAGATATTCCTACAGGTTTTACTCATAGAGTCTTTATTGTTTATGTTTCATAATGATGTCTACAGTTTGTCTCTAACTTGTGTCTATGGTGTGAGGTAGGGCTCAGTGATTCTGATTTATTTGTAGGTGGTGAATTGGGTTTTGTTTTGTTTTGTTTTTCCTTGATCTTTTTACCTAATGTTCATTTCCTCTTCTGGTCATTTTGGCCCTGTGGTTTTTTTTCCCAGCTGGCTATTCTGACCTTGTCCTTGAAAATATTCTTATGGCCAGGCACAGTGGCTCACGCCTGCCATCCCAGCACTTTGGGAGGCCGAGGTGAGAGTACTGCCCGAGCCTGAGGGTTCGAGACCAGCCTGGGCAACTTGGCGAGACGTCATCTCTACAAAAAATCAAAAAGCTAGCCAGGCGTGGTGACACGCACATGTAGTTCCAGGTACTTGGAAGGCTGAGGCGGAAGGATCACCTGAGCCCAGCGGGTCGAGGCTGTGGTGGCTGTGAGTGACCCTGCCCTCCAGCCTGGGCGACGGAGTGAGACTCCAACTCAAAAAAAAAAGATTAGTCGGGTGTGGTGGCATGCACCTGTGGTTCCAGCTACTTTGGGAGGCTGAGGAAGGAGGATTGCCTGAGCCCAGGAGGTCGAGGCTGCGGTAAGCTGTGAGCGTGCCACTGCACTCTAGCCTGGGCGACAGAGGGAGACCCCCGAGTCAAAACACGAGAATGGGCCTGATTACGCTTCACGGTGAACTCCGGAAAGTAGACTGAGGGTTTAAGGACTTTTAAAAATTGTGTCCATGGAAACATAATCATTGTGCCACCCTTTATTGACTGCTTGCATCAGCCACTGTCCTGAGCAATTTCTAGAAATAAACCTGTTTAATCTGTGCATGAAGCTTAGGAACTTTTTTTTTTTTTTTGAGTCGGAGTCTCACTCCGTCGCCCAGACTGGAGGGCAGCGGCC